CAATAGAGCTGATCTATGGATTACATTGTAATTTTAATTAGGGCCCACCACCTTTTGTTCGACATTCCAAGGATTCATCCATCATGGCTAACTCGGGGGCATGACTCTGATACCATTTGTAAGGATTATGGACACCACCTATCTCCACATTGATATGATATTGTCCACTTTGGACCTAAGCCCTCATGAATTTGCTCTTGGATTATACCCAAAAGATCTCATACCAATGAAGATATTTGTCCATCCTTATATACCCTTGATCCTCCCCATTTCTAACCAATGTGGGATTTTGATCGCATACCCAACAATCCTTCCCTCGAACAAAGGACCACTGAGCCTCTCCTCAAACGATCATTTATCCATCCACTCTCTACCAACCAGGATTTTTCATTCTCTACTTCATCGTGTTGGGGTCAGGACACGTCCATGAAACATCCGAAAAACACTACCTGACTTGAGGTTTTTTGCTCTTTCTAGGTCAACTCCTCTTCACCGTGTTGAGATTAGGACACGTCCATGAAGCATCCGGAGCACACTGCCTATCCAATAGAGCTGATCTATGGATTACATTGTAATTTTAATTAGGGCCCACCACCTTTTGTTCGACATTCCGAGGATTCATCCATCATGGCTAACTCGGGGGCATGACTCTGATACCATTTGTAAGGATTATGGACACCACCTATCTCCACATTGATATGATATTGTCCACTTTGGACCTAAGCCCTCATGAATTTGCTCTTGGATTATACCCAAAAGATCTCATACCAATGAAGATATTTGTTCATCCTTATATACCTTTAATCCTCCCCATTTCTAACCAATGTGGGACTTTGGTCGCATACCCAACATTTTATATATGTAATTTTATTTATTTATTTTCCAATAATGATAAATAAAAATAAATTAAATATCTTTTTTATATTAAATAATAGTTAGAAAACCCAAATCATTTCGGTAAATTCATCCAAATTTACGCTAAGTTTCATATAAAGTATAAAAGATTAATCTAGTAAAAAGGTCAAATTAATCTATAATTGGTCAAAACTCACACTTTTTTAATTAACTTAGATAAACTTGTAAATTAGTCCAATAAGTTAACCTTAATTAAATTTAATAATATTAAATAAAATCATATAAAAATTATAAAATATGGTGAATTCTAATCGTCATAAGTTTTAATGTTAGAGAGAGGCATAATTGCCCTTGAAAAATATTAAAAGGAAATTTAATTTCGATTCATATATAAATTAATTTACAATATCTCTTACCAATGAGAAAAAAGAAAGAAAGAAAGAGAGAGATTGAAGTGGTATTTTTCTACTAAGTTCCATCATCCTTGACACTTGGATGTTCACCATCCGCCCACCATAGGGCATGGGGTGATTTGCGGCCGAAATGGTGGTGAGCAGCAGCCCTGCATGGAGGGGATGTTTTCTAAAGAAAATTAATTTAGTATCTATACTTTTGAATGATTCAATTTAACCCTTTTCTAAGGATTTATATAACGAAAATCAATGATTGAGATCAATCGACTAATACCTTATCAATTTCGGTGTATTAAATCTAAACCCAGTAAAATCTGAGTTGGGCTTGAGGTCATATAAAGCCCAACTAAATCCTACTTCAACCTTCCTTTTTGACATGGTTTTTAAATCTATTGAAGATCAATCCAGGCCTGAATTATAGATTTTAATTGGGTTATTAAGTTATTTCGGATGCATCCTTAATTTTTTATTTTTTTAGAAATAAATAATTAGCAGGTTGAAATAGGTTTTTAATAAAATCAATCTGAAGTTTTAACCAAATTATCTCGGTTTTTGCATTTTTTTTAACCCAGTCAGACTGCCAGCCGGGCCGGATTGGGTTTTAAAACTATTCTCCCAGCCCCAGTCGCTCAGTTGGGGCATTTCCCTTCCCCTCGACGACAGCCGTAATCAACTAGCCTCCATAGTCTCTGTAAAACAGCACAAGCTCCCTTGCCTCCTTTGGTATCACCTTCCTTTTTTTCTTCTCTGCTCATAAGGTTTTCATTCTATATCTGTATGTTTAACTTTCCTTTTCTCGTTTACTGGCTTCCGTTATTAAGATATCAGCAAAGGTACCATCTTTAAGTGAAACGGGTTCTTGTTTTCATGCCTTAGAATCGCTTTATTGCTTCGAAATGAAATGGGTTTCAAGAGTTTTCTTCAATTTGTTGGAAAATTTTAGTTTTTGATTCTTTTGGATTTTGTTCCTGAGCATAGATTGTCTCTAATATGTGTTTTTTTTTTAATGATTTGGGCGTGTAAAGGTTTCTGCTTTATTTGTGTACTTTACGTTGGTTTCCTTCCTTCTAGTAGAACTATAAACACTCTATGCAACTGCAATGTGAGATTACAAAACTTCCATTTTATTTTATGTGAGTTGTGATGAAGTTATTGTCTTTCCATTGCATTGGTTGTTTGATCAGCAATGTATTCGATGATGTTTTAGGTTTTGTGGTCGCTGCTAATGTTGGAATTTTTTGGTCATTAAGTTTGTGTTTATTGTCTTAAAGACACCCGTTATTGTTTTAAGGATGATTTGCACTTGCAAGTCTTACTTTTTAGTTCAACCAGCAAAAAATGTGACAGTTTCCATTGATTCTTAACCATGAGATGTATAACACCCAAGGCCCAAAGCCATCCATTCTCATCAATTGCTTGAAATCCTCTTGATGATACAGTCCGAGTTTACTTTAGTGGAGAATACACATTTTATTTTGGCAGTGGAAAAAAGTTTGTTGCGCATAATGGTTATTTGTTGAATGTACAAATAGCTTATGGTCTTTTCTTTTAGAAGAGCAATTATACTGCAATTTCTGACCTGGATAATTCAAGTGGGTATTCTAACTCTTCTTTGACTGTGTACAGTAAAGCTTAGCTCATGATACTTTCCTTAATTACACAAGTCTGACTCAAGTAACATCTTTAAGGTTGTCCTTATGCTTCACAAGATGGTGGTAATTTGTTAACCAGTCTGGCACTCTCTGTTTTTCAATGGGTTGTTTCAATGTGCAAACTTTTGTCTTTTCTGGCATACTTGTTCAGTAGAAGGTATATAAGAGAAGAAAAAGATGGAGATTAAGCATGATCTAAAAGAACATTAAGTGAATCACTTAGGAATAGTTAATTGACTTATTTGATCTTTGGAGAAGCTTCTCTCTACTGGATTTTAGCTTGTGCAGCTTTTCCTGTTTCTCTGTGAGTCTCTTTGCATGTGCTTATTTAGAGCTTTGTGGATTTGTTTAGCTTTGACCTGTTTATCACATAGTAGTTGCAAGCTGCTGCTTTCAATAGTATGTGTTTCCTATAAATACAGTTTATGAACTGAATTTGTGTGTGCTTGCGTCTTTCTAATGAAGAAAGACAATTGGCCTGACTGATTTATTGTACTGGTTGTAGCTTCAAAAGTCTGACTTTCTAAAGCAAAATTTTACCAATCCTCTATTTTCTGTTCTCCTTTTTTTTTACCAATCCTCTATTTTCTGTTCTCCTTCATTCAACATGTTTATGCTGTATTGCTGTGTTGTGTATTGATTCATGCAACAGACAAAGTTAGTCCTTACTTGATGGTTCAACAGAAATGAAAGATGACAAGTAATTTATTAGCATGACAGTATTATTTAACAAGTGCTAAAGGGAAATTGAAGTGCTATACTGATTGAGGATTGGAGCAATGCATGTGAATATGTTATAGGAAGAACATGGAGAAATTAGGTTTAATGCCATATAGTTTCTCACTCTATGGGTTTATGGAAGTTGGAACCTGCATGTCTATACTACACTTAAAGTAGTTGTATGTACTTCAAATGATTTTTTTAGGCCATCCAGCTGAATCATTGTAGCTGGATACCTCCATGTATGATGTGGATGTTGCCCTTTTAGCTTAGAACATATGGTATCCATCATTTGAACAGTTGGTGTTCTCTGACTCGGGCAACATATTTGTTTGCCTAATAAGCTTTCTTATCCTTTTACACAATTTTGATTCTTGCATTTCATTCTACCACACTGGCTGGGATTTTATTTAAATACTGGGTGCAAGAGTTGTGTCCTTTTCTTCTCATAAAACCATTTGGTTTATTTATGAATGATACATGACCTTTTTGTTCCTGTACCTATGATTTTATCGGCTTTTAATTCACAGATACAGATGGTTCTTGCATTTCATTCTACCACACTGGCTGGGATTTTATTTAAATACTGGGTGCAAGAGTTGTGTCCTTTTCTTCTCATAAAACCATTTGGTTTATTTATGAATGATACATGACCTTTTTGTTCCTGTACCTATGATTTTATCGGCTTTTAATTCACAGATACAGATGGTTATTCCACCCCCAGTTAGGCCACCCAGAGTTACTCAGTTCCTGAAGCCGTATGTTCTGAAGATGCATTTCACAAATAAGTATGTGAATGCCCAAGTGACCCACTCACCAACTGCCACTGTAGCATCTGCTGCAAGCTCACAGGAGAAGGCCCTCAGATCAACCATGGAAAATACCCGAGATGTGGCAGCTGCTGCCAAGATTGGGAAGATACTAGGAGAGCGCCTGCTGCTCAAGGATATACCTGCTGTTACTGTTTTCCTGAACAGAAATCAGAAATACCATGGAAAGGTGAAAGCTGTGATTGATTCCTTAAGAGAAGTTGGTATCAAAATTATTTGAATTGTGGGCAAGAGAGTGTTACTGGGTTTGCATATTTGAACTGTAGTTCCAAGGGTTACTGGATTTGTCGGGATGGACTACTTGGGGAAAACAATGGAAAATGCACGGTGCTTTCGTTAACTGTTAATGAACCAAGTCCCTTGGTCATGCTTTCATAAAAAGTCATTCACAGACAGAATAAAGGCTTCAAGATAATTTTATTGATTAGACCTAAAAGATGTCCGTCCATCTGGTAGCAATGCCATGGTGATGAAAGGAAGTGCTATTGCAATGTGCACGGATCTGGCAAAAATGAGAGGCATGGTCACTACCTGAGATGGAAAGCCGAGATGGTTCTTGCAAGAAGTGGAATGCAAACTCTAAATGCACCAGGATTAAGATAGAAACAGTGACTCCATCTTTATATTGCGAGCATGACCTTTGTTGCCTTTTCTTCTTTTGCATACACTAGCGCTATGCGAATGCACTACTATTCTTCTTTAGTGATATTGCCTGTGCGATGGTGCAAAAGAAGAAGAGGGGAACAAATATAATGCTCTGAAATAGAAAGTCGGAGTCTATCCTAGTCGCTGGTGCAGTTGAAGTTTGTTTGCCATTTATTTTATGGTAGAAGAAAAAAAAAAAAAAAAAATTATCAAAAGATGCAAAGAGAGAAAAAATACAGTGGGGAGGGACGTCGATTCTGTTATATACAGGAGTTTCTAAACGTGCAAATTCTATGAAGTTATTGTTGGCGGATCACACAAATCTTATGAGAAATGCTTGATTTGTTGTTCATGCTTGTATTAAATCCCAATGTCGATCTTATTTCTGAGTTTTTCTCCCATTAATGCTATCCAAACAAAAGCTAGAATATTATCTCAACGCAAATCCCTTTTCCCAGTCCCGAAGGGAATGGATGCTAGCCATGAGTGCTTTTTGGATGATCACTATGGTCAGCACCAATAAGATGCCCTATTTCTTGCATAACAACTGATTCCTATTCTGCCGCATTAGCTTCAGAATTGACACTCTAATGGAACCTTACTTGTCTGCTTGATGGAATGCCATGGGCTAAAATCTCTCAAGGATCAAAGGAGGCTCTGCTGTTATTATGGGCCAATTAATGGAATCCAAATTCAGTATCTGATGCGGAACTCATAGCTAAGAACTTCTTGGAAAGCCCCACGATAGAACTGAGCTAACAGTTTTCCTTATGCTTGGTTTATGCACCCTGATTTTATGTTCTGTAGATTTATAAGGCGTGACTTTCAGCTTGTTCATTGTATATTATTCCAAATCTTGTTGGTTACAATCCCTACAAAACAGTAGAGGTCTGGTGTCATAAACCCCCCACATATTCATCATTGGCTTATAAAAGCCTCCAGCTTTTGTAGCCAAAAAAAGCAGGACCTCTCCTTTCCTCTTTATCTTCTCATATTCCAAAAATAACAGAACTTTCAAGGGTAATTATGTGATTAGTGAAGTAAGAGATACCAAAACATGAAAATCTGTGTACATTAACATGTGTATATATAGTAAACATGAAGGACTAATGGATAGTGACAATTTCTTCAGGTAGTTCTCCTATTTTGGGGCTGCCTTTTGATTACAGCCTCTAGCTGGAGAAATGTTCTAAAAGCTTTCCATGTCACCATCTTTCCTTATCGTTCTTCAACCGACAAACAGAAAATTTTCTGCATCCCATTTCCTGCAGGACCACCCCATTTTGGCTGCATTTTCAGGTTCTTTTGCATCATCAGAAACCGGTGATTGTGCTAGAGGTAACATGTAACATTTTTTACCACCAGTTTCTTCGACAAAATATCCAATCTTGCCACTTTCGGAACCATTGATCAATTCTTATGAAAGCTCTCTGATAAGGTAACATGCACGTAACAGTTTGTTCATGATATGGACAACAATTTTCTGTGTTTATCCCAAGGAGCCAGAAATATGTTTGTAGGGCAGGATAGAATGGGATCGCAATTTGTCTTGCATTATTGTTCGTTCTTATGCCTTTGAAATTGTAGTTTCACTCTCATTTGAGTTTCTTCGAACAATGTCTTTCCAATATCCTTTTAGAAACTTCTCAGTGGGAGCTTCCTTATCATCTGTACCAGAAAAAATACCATATGATCCATTGACAAGTACAACGCCTCAGAATACCGTCACGTGCGCCTACCAGGCTTATGTTGCAGGTTATTGGCGTAATCTCACGGTTTTTTGGTGCAAGAACCATATGAATCACACCCTCAACCTCATTATCAATAACCTTGAAGGTGAAGTTTGTCGCAATTGCAAGATTGACCTTAAGCCTTGGCTTTTCTGGAGCAAAAAAGGGAGCAAGTCCTTCGAGCTTGAAGGGTGCCAAGTGGATTTACATTGGGACTTCCGATCAGCTAAATTTGCTGGGAGTCCTGAGCCGGCCAGCGATTATTATGTTGCTGTAGTTTCAGATGAAGAGATTGTATTATCGTTGGGAGATTACAAGAAAAAGGCTTATAAGAGAGCGAATGCAAGACCACCACTTGTTGAGGCTATCTTATATTTGAAAAAGGAACACGTATTTCACAAGAAAACCTTCTCAACAAGAGCTAAATTCGACGAAAAGAAACATGAGCATGATATTATTGTAGAGAGTTCTACAGGAGGGCCAAGAGATCCTGAAATGTGGATTAGCATGGATGGAATCATCATGATTCATGTTCGGAATTTACAGTGGAAATTCAGAGGGAACCAAACTGTGATGTTGAGCAGGCAACCAGTTCAAGTGTTCTGGGATGTCCATGATTGGCTGTTTTCTGCCCCTGGCACTGGCCATGGATTGTTCATATTCAAACCAGGGGTTTCAGAATCAGAAGATGACAGGGATAGCAGCAGTTATGGTGCCCAGAGTGATACCAGTGATGGGAGTATGTATTTTTCAACCAGGAGTGTCTCAGCAACACCAGAATTCTGCCTTTTCCTTTACGCCTGGAAGATCGAGTAAGGTTTGTTGTAATATATGGAAATGGCTACATGACACAAGCGTTCTTATGGCTAGAACTTTCCCTGCCAGAAGAAGCTTAACCTGTAAAGTTAGTTACCAGTTATCTCCCTGATCTGAGCCCTTTTATGGATCTATATCAGACACATTATATTTTCCAGGTCCATTGTGGAAGCATAGTTGAGAATTTCAACATGCAGTTTTATCCACTACAGTTCTTTATATAGATCCTGAATTCATTTATTTTGATATAATTATCCTTCACTTAAAAGAAATATCATGTATAATAGACTTAATTCCATGTTAAATTATAGCTTCAAAGCATTCACTCAAACAAAGATTTTCAGAGAACCAATATGTTTTATGGTCAGTGCAACATTTTTACTGATAATTCCATCAGTCCAAGCAAGCTTTCAGTAACAGAGAAAATTATTGCCAACGAGCTTATAGGTCAACCGGCATCCATATACCCTTCCTTCCTAGAGGTCTTGGGTTTGATCTGCTCTCTCGTCACTGAAAAATATAAAATTTCATTCAATAAGCTACATCACTCAGGATATGGCTACCTTTTCAGGTCTATTTTGAAACACTGCGGCGAATACGACAACTGCATGCTTGTTTCGAGACCGCGCCAAACCATCCTCAAACCCAGCTGGGTTTTGTTGCAGGGTTTGGTGCTTAACACAAATATCTGAATATCCAACTGCAAAGTGGCTGTCTTTCTTGCATTAAAATATATCAGAAATCCGAGGGTAAATGGCTTGAAAAAACAGATCTCTGAAGTTTTGTTAAATCTCACATTGCATTACTAATGTTCTCCCACGATCCTGGCAAAAGAAGAAGGGAATCGTAAGCTGCAGAAATGGCAATTGCACGAGTACTTGCTTCAGACGGAAATTAAGGCCAGCAACGGTAGAAATCGCAACGAAATCTGGGCAAGTTTTTAAGGTCTATCCCTCAACAAATCTATCACCTGGCAACGGCTTAGGCTAGCTAAAATGTGAATTGCTCTGAACTATTGTTGGGAATTTAAAGCAACTCCTTTTCCACACTCATGTCCAGTCCTAATCTTAATTTCTTTTGACAAAGAAAATAGCCTCATGGTCAAGAAATTTTATTTTTCTTCCTTTTTGAGAGCATTTTGGAAATGCTAAGGAAACACAATATTTGACATTAGAAGTTTATCCCTCAAAACAAAACCCATTATCCAACTATAGTTGGTTGATTGAAAGATGAATATACACCCTATAGTTAGGATCAATAAATCTGTCAACCTATAATTAGGATTATTAAATCTTTACAGCTAATTTGACTGAAAATGTGGCCAAAAGTAGTGTTTCTTGTTTGACAAGGCTGGCTGTTGAAAGAAACAGGTAACTACGTGAGGGAGATGACTATGGCAAATGGGAGAGTGTAATGTCCATGTTTTGGCCATCGGACGCAAACTTAAACCCAAGTCTAACCCAAATTCAAGAACTCAACCTAATCTAATCTAATCTACGTATTTAAAGAAAATTTTTTTGCCAGAGAATTTATTTTCCCGTCTTCTCTTTTCCCTTCCCTGCCGTAATTTTTCTCTCAAACATGCATAGAGTTTGAAGAAACAAGTATCATGACTTCCTCTGTTGTTTTCGAATGGTGATTAAACATCGTATCTTCAATAGAATTTGAAAGGGGAATAATCGGTAGATGGATATGATAACATGTGGTTAAGGACAACCTGAATCGATTCATAAGAAGCATGCCATATAGGGTGATTTTGATATTTTGTGGATTAAAAAAGTGTTTTGGGATTTCATGATATATAACATGTTGATTTGATAATGGGATGATTTAAGATATTTAATTGATGTTTTAGGATGTTAGCTTGGTTTAAAATGAACGGATATATAAATTGGAGTTATGCTTCTTTTTTTTTTAAGGAATAAGTTGAATTTTAAGGATTTATAATTTTAAAATATTGAAAAATTAAGATTTTTGAAAACTCAATTAACTGGTTGATTTATTGGTTTGAACTAGTCGACTAATCGACCTAATGGTTTTGGTTAACCGAGTAGTGGGGGTTGATTAATTCTTTTAGGTTTAATCAATTTAAAAAATATTTAAGATCGATTGAATGGATTTATTTTGATTTTATAATTACATTTTAGTTTCTAATATCATAGTGTTAATTTTTTATGTTATCTGCTTTAAACTATTTTCTTCATTTGTTACAAGTCCTAATAATTCTTGATAATCTCTATTTTTATTTATATTTTTTATGTGAGTGAGATAATTTTTAATTATGTATAATATAAATAATTTATGTATATTAATTATATGATGAGTATATACAATATTTTTAAATATCTATACATGTTGATTTATTTTCTTAATACTTATTAGTTTCTTGAATTTGTATTCACATTCTATTAATTTAATTATATTTAGTATATTATTTGTTTGCTTAGACATACATATATAAATATATATTATGTCTGAATATCAAGATACTTGTTAAAAAATTTATACTATTAAGTAATCTATCTACTATATACATATGGCAATCTGTATTCCTAGTCAATGACAGAAGCATCAGCCTATAACATATGATTCTCTCGTAATTATTGAGGCTGCAAACCCATCTATTATCAAAATCTTAGGATCCAAAATTCAGTTCATGACAGAGAGCATCATGCTCTTATAGTCTGATCTGAAAGCAGATGGAATGAAAGAAAAATGGCTTCCCTAGGCCACCATGACCATAATTGTTCTTCAGTGTCTGGACGAAGAAAGCGAGTGCTGTTACATCAGTTGGACAAAAGTTATTAGATGATACTATTGTTTAATTTGTATTACATGCAAAAAAATTAACAAGGCGAGGAACATAAATTTGTAGAGTTTAAAATGAACATTTAGTATGTATTCCAAGAATAAAATTAAATATGTAGAATTACATTTAAATCGTCAAATATCTTAGCATATCTACTATCATAAACTACGGCTACACTCCATTAAACCAAGAGGATTGTGAATTTGGGATATTTCATCTCCCCTTTTAGAGGGGAATGAAATGTAGCTAGTTAGAGAGGGCGGCGACTTCCATCCTTGGATATTTTTGGAAGCATTTTTTTCATCTATTTTCGTTGTGTTTTTTTTTTCTTCTTTTTTTCTTTGGCAGACCTGGAAAACTATTTAAGAGAACCTTGCAAGACTTTCATCTTGATGGAGGCGAATGCAGTTGAACATACAGGGAAATTCTTGCAGTAAGCATTGATGTTCATGTAGTCATTGCAGTTACAAGATCCCCATGATATAAACTTACCAACTTGATCTCTTTTCTACTTTCAACTTCTCTTGCACGGTACGAGCCACTCAACTTTTCTGTAATCCATCATTAGTGGGAAATCATTTTTCACTATGTTCAGAATCAACTAACAAATAGATCATAGGAACCTACAAGATGATTTTATCTATTCAATCAATTATTCAAGTTATTATTCTTGTAGTAACACCTGAGTTGATGATATTAATTCTCACAGTTACTCTTCCTTCAAAAGAAACAGAATACCAAAATCAAGAAAGCAATAGGCATCATTTTAAATGGAGTAACTTCACCAACTCACATTGCCATAAACTAAAACAAGAGGAAGGGTGGAATAGAAAGTTTAAGCCATTAAACCATCCTGCTAGTCAAATCCTCTGAACAAAAGGCTTGTTTGCACTAACATTACTATGCCAGTAATTGTGCTGCATTGCTAGGTGTTCCCAAGATACCATTTATACACAAGACAAGATATTCAACCACATCCAAAAGAAGAAAACATGCCCACCTACGCCATTCCAGTTTTCTAGAAACCAAGACCAAAACCGAACATCCTCGTATCCTTGAGACTACCATTTGTTAGCAAAATCAACAAAACTACTCATGTCCTATGATGCCCTAAGAATGACCAAGTGCCTTGTCAATTTCTTCCACATGATCACGGAGCATGTTCCACTGCAAATGAACAAAATTAAGTCATAATGACTAACATCGCTTCTGAATCCATAACCATCACAAAAAAGCATAAAGTTTGAGACATGTACCTGATCCAATGATAAGGTAATACCTGGAATAAAAATACAAGCATGCAATGTTAGAAGGCACAAAAATAGAAAAGAGAACAAAGAAAAATAAATAAAAACCCTTTTCCCACTCCCTGACCCAAGTGCTTTGACGTGCAAGCCAAACTCAATTCTACTGTTTGGACTTCGCAAAAAGAGAAAAGCACTTTAAGCATGGTAAGCAGATGATGTCTTAATTCCAAACTGGCAAGATCTCCAAGGGAGATATGAAAACAAGGGGCAACAATTACCTAGGCATGCATATACCAGCATGAAAAATATTCCTCTGCTCACGATAAATGAGCCAAGCACCACCACCACTAACCTAGCACTTCATCAAACATGCTTTCCCCTTATCAGAACAACAATTCTAAATTACAATTAAAAAGTTAAAATTTTTAAGGCTCCTGAAGGAAAAAAACCAGCCAGAAAATCAACATAAGAGATCACAAACAGCATAAAAACAAAAAAAGTTCAATTCAGTTTCATAAACTGAAAACAGTTTCAAGTCTCTAATTACACAGAAAAATGGAAATAGAAACAGACACGTATGACTTTCACAGTATAATCTCCCTGCAGATATGACAAGAAGTAGGCTTTTTTAAAATTCTGGTTCTTATGAAATATGTCAGCAGAGTTCAGCACTGAAATGAAAATGTTATTGAAAACTTGAATGCTGGTGACTTTGTAGCTTCATTCACCCTAATAGTTGAATCCTTTCCCTACCAATTTATTAAAAAACAATGATTGCGTTGGCCTATCCCAATTTTAATGGAAAGAAAGACTCAATTCACCTAGGCATGTGTGTGCATTCACCCACCCTGTTTTGTTTCTCCGACAATCATCAAGTAGCTCATCTTCCAAGAGAAGGGGAAAAAAGCTTTCCACACATGCCCATATACTATCATCAAACATTCTGCTTTCCCCTCAATACTTAGAGAGGAAAAGGTCAATTCAATTTGCTGACTGGCTTTATATTTCAAAAAAACACCTAAGATCATTGCCACTTACATCAAACCAGTGGCATGGATCATATGGGCCTGTCTAGGCAGGATGGAAATCATGGCCCAAGATTATCTATGTTCTATACTGTAATAAAGAAGACAGCATTTCAAGAAATACCCTC